TTGACTACGAGTACCGAAAATTACGAGAACCGGGGCTTACGAGAACCAAGGTTCCACTGTATATTATTTTTACAAATAATAATTACTGTACATCGTTCAAACCTGGATCATTTCCTTATGGAGTGACTATGAACCCAATCCGAATTTATGAATAACCCTGTTTTCTGAATACTTTATCTTTTTTGGGGTTATCAAATTTTCTGAAAGTTCCTTACTGCAAACCATGCCATGCATATCTCTGCACATTCAAACACACAAATAATAAACAATGATGAACAAATCCACATTATATTTGTGGATTTTGATGTATTTGATACATCTCACTTGATATATCATGCTATTGTGAATACTGTGTGTAATAAACAATGATTTTGGTGTCATCTCAGGTTTACATTTATATTAGAATGTATAAATGTACATAAAAATTAATTTTGTACTTACCTTTTATGTAGCACACACTGGTCTTAGTAACGAAGAAGTAGCAAATGCAAGCCATGTACTTTTTCATACCGTTAATCAAAATTCTGCAGCTACCCCTCAACTGGTCGTAAAGTCCTCAATGCCCATGGTTCAAAAGATATTCTTTCATCTACAGTCTGTATCTTCACCACTCTCAAACTCCATGAACTGCTAATATTTAGTTTTTTATGCTAAAAACATTACTAGTACTGTACCACTGGCATACTTCTCTGCCGGTTGTTGTCCTCTCCAGCCCCAGTCAAGCTTCTCTTAATAATTCAGCCTCATACCCTTGTCTGGTGTAACTTTACTATTCTTACCCGACTCCTCCAGTCACATCAAGTCTGATGCCACAGAACAAAAATTATTATAAACAAACTTTTGTGCAATTTATAGTACAGTTCAAGCACCTACCTTGAGGTTACCTTGAGGTGCTTCCGGGGCTTAGCGTCCCCGCGGCCCGGTCGTCGACCAGGCCTCCTGGTTGCCGGACTGATCAACCAGGCTGTTGGACGCGGCTGCTCGCAGCCTGACGTATGAGTCACAGCCTGGTTGATGAGGTATCCTTTGGAGGTGCTTATCCAGTTCTCTCTTGAACACTGTGAGGGGTCAGCCAGTTATGTCCCTTATGTGTAGCACAGTAACATTTATAAAATAAAATGCATTATTTTTAATAGAAATAATTATTAACACCTCAATTGTTCAAGAAACTAATAACCTGCCCTGTGCACAAGAGGAAATAAAATTCTAAATTAATGTTCTTCTATTATAGTACTGTACTGTACTGTATTGTTAAAATACATTCTCGATCACAGGAAAATTAAAATAAAATTTCTAAGCCACTTACTTTAGCTGTAATAGCTCCTGATAATGGCATAAATTCTTGATTGCTGATGAATCAAACTCCAGGTCAGATTGCTCTCAGAGGGAAGGAGGCATTAGCTATGCACATTTAAAGTATGTATTGTTTTCATTGTACAGAGAAACCTCGGGTAACGAGCAGCCCCATCTATGAGCATTTCAGGTAATGAGTGAGCGACTTGCAGAAAATTAGTCTCGACTGACGGACTTCCGCTCGGTTAACGAGAAAACCTGTGGTGCTTCCTAGCGTTCCCACTGGTTCTCACAAATTCTCGAATACTTACGAAGACAGTTGTTGTGGTTTTATTGTGCAGGATAAGCATCGTTCTGCATTTATTGGGCTTTTCTTTGCCATTTTTATGGTTTTGTGACTATATAAAGGGAGTATGCCGCCTCTTCCAATGAGATCAAGGAAATGTTGGGAATGTTTGAAAAGCTGAATGCAGTCTTGGAAAACCATCACCCTGATAAAGCAATGACTGCACGGTGTGTGAACTTGTTCAATGACAATTTGCTGTCTCGTTTTGGGGACATCCGAAACCGAAGATAAAAGCAAGTGTCAATAGATACGTTCTTTGAAAAGGTACAGAAAAGACGAGCAAGTGTTGGTGACCCACAACCCTGTCCCAGTGGGGTGAAATTCACAAGAAGAGTGAGCCTGCCTGACTCGGAGGTGGATTCTCCTTCCACACCGTAAACCCTCCCTACCTCCTTACCTCCCCATCGTCTCCCTCAAGCCCGTAATGACTCTTCATAAGGTAAAATACAATTCAAAACAGTAAAACAAAACATTTATAATAATTACATGTATTATAATTACATTATAAAATTTCATATTGATGTTTTACGGTAGTGGAATGGATTAATTGTATTTACATTATTTTAAATGGGAAAATTCGTTTCACAAGACGAGCATTTCACATGAAGAGCTTGGTGCCGGAATGGATTAAATTTGTTAACAGAGTTTCCTCTGTATTTTTAATGTTTTCACATTTTTTAGTGCCATTATCTATTGGATTGTCAATTTATAGAACAGAAAATGCACAGAAAATTGGTATGCACACAACCATGTCACTAATTTGTGCACCATATTATATTCTGCGAACAATAAAATACAGTGGTACCTTAGCTTACAAATTTAATCCGTTCCAGAGACGGTTCGAAAGCCAAAAATTCATAAACTGAAGTGAATTTTTCCCCATAAGAAATAATGTGAATTGAATTAATCCATTCCATACTCCCAAATAAAATTAACTTCAAAGTAAATTTTATACCTAATTCACCCAAATCTTTATTACTAAAGTATGTACAAGTTATTGCTTACCTTTATTGATGACCAAATCCACAAGGGCCGTGATAAGGGTTCGAACCTACGTCCGAGAGGATCCCAGCCGTGCCTTAATCGACTGAGCTACGACATGGTTAAAAGAATTGTGTGTAATGAAGTAAAGGAGAAAAGATAAAATAGCTTATTGACAGAGCTCGGGTGCATGGGGGAATTGTGTAAAACCCTGGTTTGTGTCTCGGAGAGACTTCACAATCCATGTGAGGCCAAGTTGAACTCCCTGTTGCAATTCTTTTAACCATATCATAGCTCAGTCGATTAAGGCACGCCTGAGATCTTCTCGGATGTAGGTTCAAACCCACATCACGGCCCTTGTGGATTTGTTCATTTGAAGCATTATGCTATTGTGATTTCTGTGTGTAGTGTAGTGTAGTTTATTGATGACTCTTGTTGGTGTATGGAAGATGGTGAGGAGAGGGGGAAGGAGAGGTGTTAGTGTTTGGAAGGGGAGTCTCCTTCCCTTATAATATCAGGCAGTGATGACTTCTCTGGGGTACACACACTGGCACATTTTGCCTGCATACCACTAGGACCCGCTTGTGGCTCACTGCTGTTTTTCTCACTAAAAACCTGTCTAGTGACACTTGTTTTTCCTTATGTTGTAACACTTGTCTGAAGTGAGACATCACATTGTCATTAAAAAGGTTAACACAACGGCCTATTACAGCTTGCTCTGGGTGAATTAATAACTTTTCAACATCAAGTATTTGTGTTCTTTGTTTTGTGATTGTTGATACGCTTTTTGCTACTTTAGCACTCGATGTCCTTTTTCTTAGCAATTACAGTGCATATCATTGACATAGCTTTGCTGTACTGTCAAGCTAGTTCAAGAACCCCGTGGATCATTTTCATGTTTACAAATGATCTCTTGTTTTTCCTCTACGGTCATTCTCACATGTGTTTATTTGGCTTGAACCTTACCACTGGCTTTCTTGAGACCCATGGCAAGATATATAACAACAATTTTATGTTTAAATAGCCAAAAAAAAAAAAAGGGAAATTCTTTACAGAGAATTCAGGCATGATAGTCACTAGGCAGGAGCAGGAGGCACTGGTAAACCGAAACGCGATCGCCGTGCCACCACGTGCTAGGTCGGCCATATGCATATCAATAATCTTCGTTTCCCGAGACAAGGTTCGTAACTCGATTCAAATTTCATGAAGAAATCAGGCTCATAACCCAAAAAGTTCGTAAAGAGGGGACATTCGTAAGCCGAGGTACCACTGTATACGGTGTTTGCTGTTATCACAGTGAATACATGTTATATACAATTATTGATATTTATGCACCATTACGAGCCAGTAAGATACTTTGGAGGGAGATAATCCCGTAACCAGTGATCCAAGCACAGCCTAGCCCCACACATTTTGCAGCAAGCTGTAACTGCATGTATTGAATATATTTCATTTATTTGCATTTTAATGTTTTAACCATGATGGAATGAAATGAAGCATTGCGCTGTCAATAGTGTAATGTTATTTATATCACAGAACATGTAGAACACTGGTACACAGATATATTCGTGTCACTTATGCGTGCACCATAATAAAATATTAGAACTAAACTAATTACTTTGCTGTTATCACACTGTATATATAACTGTCTACATGTTATGCGCGAGTAGGCCTCGCACCGAGTGCAATATCACATGCATCGGGTTCACTTTCAGTGTCACCAACATCCAAGCTTTGTACCTAGTATTTATCATTATTATGATCATCTTTCACTATCACTGTCAAATTCTTGCTCTTCTTATTTATGTCATCGTCTATACAAGTGATACTGTGAGCTGCTGCTACGTACGCTACTCACGGTTACAGTGTTAGTACTGAGTAACCTCTACAGAGTATTCCCTAGTGAGTAATCCCTAATAATAATCCCACAAAGAAGGATTTATTTTCAAGATGGATGATACTTACCAGAAGCCTTAGTTGCAATGCACCATTGAAGGGTTAAAAAGTGGAATAGCAAAAATAGAAAAAATAATAGGATCTGTTGGATGTTACTGTACGTGACAAACTGACAATCTGGATTACACTGCTGGCTGCATCAGTTTCAACATTTTCTCAGGAAAATCCCAATTTCAGAGGGAAGCCACGGTGGGTGGATTTGATTCATAATTTAGAGGAATCTGTTGTATGGAGAGTGCATACACAGTATACATAAGCATGTACAGTATTTGTGTGTGTATTTATGCATGCATGTACAGTACTGTACAGTATTTCTATATATATTTCTATAGGGAGATTAAATGTACATACATATGCATGTATTCTTATATACTGAACATATTCATCTATTGCTACTAGTGATATATTTTAAAACATTTAAATGGCCCAAGTGGAAAATAAACCATAGCAAGAGTGACATCCAGCCAGTGTAACCTGTACTGCCTACAGTGAGCCTGGCTTAGTGACATCCAGCCAGTGTAACCTGTACTGCCTACAGTGAGCTTGGCTTAGTGACATCCAGCCAGTGTAACCTGTACTGCCTACAGTGAGCTTGGCTTAGTGACATCCAGCCAGTGTAACCTGTACTGCCTACAGTGAGCTTGGCTTAGTGACATCCAGTCACTGGACCTGGTACTGCCTGCAGTGAATCTGGTAGTGCTCAAGAGTTGTACATACGATGCTGCTGGTTTTAAATGTTTTCACTTATGAGGTACAATATGTGTAGGTTACATACCATATATGTGAGGAATATGGAGATATGTACTGTATGTGGATCTACCGTATATGTAAATAATATGCAAAAATTTATTTGATCAATATAATGTGCTTTTTCTATTCTGCTTAAAGACTGTCCTCCACAATCTTATACAAAGACATAAATGAGATTGATAACTATCAAAAGTATAGTATTTCAAAATACTGATATATGAAAAATATTTGAAAATTTATTACGGAATCTTGGTAGTTTTTGAGAGCTTCACAGGTTACTATATAAGAGAATTTTTTGTTCTCCATATCACAGGAGCAAATTCTTCATCACTGGAATCTTCACTACCATCTGAATCAGCTTTCTGATTCCCTCTTTCTTTAAGTTGCGTTGTTTTCTTCTTATCCAGTTCAACGACTCTGAAAGAGAACACTCGCATATAATAATCAAGCATATCTGTTTGAGGAATACATTCCAAAATGGCTTAGCTTATTATTTTACTTCTCGGCTTATTCTAGTCAAGTCTTAGGAATAGTGACACTTATTCAATACTGTATCTTGTGTATGCCACTAGAACAGAGACTGCAGTAGATGGAAGTCCTCTGCCCAATGCAAAGTTCTTTAACTAGTCCTGTAAATGTTATTGGATTACACTTTACGAAGTAGCTTAACCACCGTGCTGCGCCGAGTTTATTGTGAAATTCCCCCTGGCTGCATGAAATAAAGTGTTCCCCAAAAATTCTTTTTTCTTCGTAAAATGATAAATTTCCTTCCCTGAACATGTCTATGTAAAAAATAAATACCAAATTCCACTTACTTTGGCTGTGGGGACGTGGACAAGGTGTGCTGTGATGTCATCAGGGCCTGGTCGCCCGTGCATGACTCGCCCAGACACGGTCACACAGGCCATTCAAGCATCGGGTGTTGCCACAAATATATTTTCAATTATTTGTTCTATGTATTTCCAATGTGGTTTTATATGATTTTTTTATCGTATATGATACATATTTGTGTCCTTTACAATATGTATACAGTAGAAAGTTCATAATGTTCCATGGAACTGTGATACATGTGTCAGTAATGTGTCCACAATAAATGTTTATTGTCGCAATATTACTTGTTAAAAATTCACTAAAATTACAATATGTAAAATTTTACACACCATTTACACAGTAACACACTGTATTACACATTCAGTACTTCGGAAGTGAGATATAATCGACGAAGTATTCTATGGTGCACAGCGCAACTTCGCTCTCATTGCACCAGGTACAGATAAATTTTCGCTTCCTGTTTCCTCATTCTATGTGCTTGCAAATAACACAATCAAATACACCCTTGGTTTTAGTACTTGTAGGTTGTATGTAGCCAAGCTTGTAAAGCATAAGGTAGTATTGAAAAGATTATAAGAAAAGATAAATTTGTAAGGTAGTCTTGAAAAGATCACTTTGTATGGTTCCACATAGGAAGAGATTCAGCTTGCCTCAAAGAGTGTCCGTCAGTCAGAGAGAGATTCAGGTATTCATGAAAATATCTATGGAAAACACCACTATGGAAGCTGCAAACACTGTTCATCTATGCTACTTGTATCAGATGCATCATCACTGAACGCAGAAAACATTTCATCTATGTATCATCTAAATAAATTGGAGAAAGCATAGGATTGCAAGGGTGACACTCAGAGCTACAACTGGATACGCTCGCTGTATCGCCCTCATAGGGACTGTATCACTTGCATTCGACCTTTGTGTTAGGCCCTTATTGTGCCTAGCTTCACCAATATTATGACCCTTATGTTCTTCAAACAATAAGGTTTGAATTTCACCGACAGTGCGTTATCTTTCAACACCGCATCGGAGAGCTGTTTAGGAGCCAGAGGCACATGCGCTACCCATGGTTGCTCACTCAGTACTACCCATCCAACAGCCCAAGGGCTTTCTGGATTTTTTTTCCAAGATGGCTGCCTCTCACTGGAGGTCCTAAGAGTCCATTTCGTACACAACCAACCTCGTACCATTTAGAATGGGTACGGAAAAATCAAAGAGAGTTTTCCAGGTTGGCGCAGTTAAGTGGTTAATAACAGTATGTTTTATTGGTCAATGGATCTCGCTGAAACTTAAAATACCGAACAAGTTGGAGGATGCTGATCTGGACAATTTCTTCAAAAGTTTAGATGTAATAAACAAGGAGCAACAGTTTCAACCTCAACGAGCTTTAATGGAGAGCCAGAGAACAGGAAATGCTTTTTCACCCACAGGGTTACAAACCCATGGAACCGCCTACCCGTCAAAGCCATAAATGCCAAAACTGTGTTAAATTTTAAAATCTACCTGGAAAAGATAAAGGCAAATAGGGGGACCTATGATAAGCCGCCACCTTCATGTCCTAGTTAAAGTCACCAGGGTTAGTGGCCCTTAGTAAATCAGGTAAAATCAGGAATTCAGGCGCATGTGACATGAATATATTCTTGTATCGATGTTCCACATATTTTATTATAAAAAATTCCCAAAATTATAAACCCATGTCATAGACAAGTGTGGTAGTCACAACACTAGAAAAAATAGTTAAAACAAATGGAAAGAATACATAGAGAGAAATGATACAATAACAGACAGTATGATTTTCAAATAGGAAGATCCTCTCCTCTACTTAATTTTTATGACAGAGCCACAGAGATTCTACAGGAAAGAGATGGTTAGGTTGACTGTGGTTATCTGGACCTTAAAAAAAATCTTTGACAGAGTCTCACACAAGAGGCTGTTTTGAAAACTGGAACATGCTGGAGGGGTGACAGAGAATTCTAACATGGATAAAAAAAATTCCAACAGAGAAATGAGGGCAGTAATCAGAGGCAAGTTCTCAGCCTGGAGAAATGTCACTAGCAGAGTATGGCAGGTTTCAGTTCTTGCACCAATAATGTTCACTGTCTACATAAACGATCTACCAGCAGGAATACAGAATTATATGAACATGCTTTTAATGATGCTAAGATACTAGGGAAGATAAGAAACTTAGACTGTTACGCCCTTCAAGAACACCTGGATAAAATAAGTGTATGGAGCAACAAGTGGCAAATGGAATTTAATGTGAATAAATGCAAAGATATGGAACATGCAACAATATACAAATTATGTGGAAAAGCTTTAAAAAATTCTGATAAAGAGATCTAGGGGTTAGAAAGAAAACTGTCACCTGAGTACCATATATAGAACATTATGCAAGGAGCCTATGCTATGCCTTCCAATTTCAGAATTGCTTTTAAATGTGTGGATGGCAAAATATTAAAGAATTTGTTCACAACCTTTGTGAGTCCAAAAATGGAATATGCAAGAGTTATATGGTGCCAATATCTCAAGTAGCACATCAACAAAATGGTAAAAGGTGCAAAGATATGCAACAAAATGGCTTCCTGAATTGAAAGACAAGAGCTACGAGGAGAGGTCAGATGCATTAATTATGCCAAAGCTAGAAGATAGAAGAAAGGTGATATGATCACTGTCCTCTCCTTGCAAAGCAAATATCTGCCAAAAAGATTAAACGACCCCAGGCTCACATTTGGCATACTCAAAGCAATTAATACAAAAATGAAAAAAACAGGATGGGCCTAGTTGCAAAAGTAGTAGTTAAGAGGTACTTGTCAATGCTTACCAGTGTGAGAAGAAAAGTCAAACTTTCCTTTTATGAGAACAGATTCGAAGAAGCAAAAGGAAACATAAAACGCACATGGAAAGCCATCTCTAACATCCTAGGATCTAAACAACAATAACATAACAAGCAGATAAAACTCTCCACGGATGGTTACACACATGCAACAGACTTAGAAATGGCAACTGAATTTAACAGCTTCTTTTCATCAATTGAATTTCATCAATCCTTAAAAAAGCAAGAGTGACGGCACTTCATAAAGAAGGAGATACGGCTGACCAACAATTACAGGCCAATATCAAATCTACCTATACTTATAATTTTTTCAGATATTTTTTATATTTTTTTCTGCCAGCGCATCAGGAACCTGAACCTGAACCCGGCGAGCTGGGAAAGAGGCAGATCCCTGGCTAGCAGATAAGCACATTGGCTGAGAGATCCACACCAACCAGTTGTCGAGGTAGACCAAGAACTGAAGACTGAGCAGACGAAGACGGGCCACCATGACCCGAGTCAAACACGTAAAAACGCGAGGTATCAGATCAACCCAAAAGGGAGACAATAGAAGCAGTAAGAAGGTCGCCCCATGACAAACTGAACCAAGCCCTGAAACCAGATGGATAGAAATGCATCAAGACACGTCCCTCAGGTCTAGGGAAGCAATCAAGCAACCCGGATCGAGAATGAGCCGGACTAAGGACAGCGGGGTCATTCGAAAGGAGGGGCAAACCCACCCCGAGATGACCCGACGGATGGACGGGGAGGAGTCCCGACCCCCCTAAAGGAGTAAGGACCACTCAATGCCACCGAAGGCCGTAAGAACGACCCGAAAAGCCCACGAGTCGTGAGACCAGGCGTTGGCAAAAAGAGAGAGCCTCTCCCCAATCGCCTTGACAACTGGGCGACCTGCAAACTGATCAACGCAAACCCCGAGATGCTGACTTTCTTACAGAGCAAACACCGTGCGACCAGACGAAAAAGGCAACAGGGAACTCACCGACTCAAACTGGCACCAGAGGCCTACCCCGACTAAATGAGGCTCGAGCCCTGGCACAACCATACTGGGAGTACCGGGAGTGGCAGGAGTGCCCTCCCCTGGAGAACCAACAAGTCTGAAATAGGCTGGCAACGAGCAAAAGCTACCTACAGAAACTGAGGAACACAGTCCTCGGAAGGGACAAAACAGTGAAGAAGACAAAAGAGCAAGGGCACAAGCTGAAGCCAACAACAGAGCGAGTACAGCCTGTCAACACGTGAGACGAGAGGTGAAAAACAGAAAACCACCTCCTGGAGGATCGCCACAAACAGCAACAGTAAGGCAGACCATGCAGAAGCAGCTAAGACTAAGACCCCAGCTGAGGGCCCCCCACCCTGCACACCCCACACCCACTGAAAGCCAATCCGAAGACAGCTCCAGAGGACTAAAGAAACGCAAGAGGCCAAATGACTGCGAGTTGGAAGGCATCTGCCGCCAAAGCAGCCGAAAGAGTGGGAACTAGAACACATAGCTGCACCAGACCAATATTATGAGGAAGCGCAGGGATGAAGAGACACTCATTGAGAAACTGCAGAGCCCTCCCCCCAAGAACACTAGCAACACCGTGGAAACCTCCTGCCACGGATGTGTGTGGTTACGACAATAGCCACGCTAAGTCCGAAGAGAGGAGGAGAAATAGTCTGCCAGCCAGGAACCACAGAATGCCCCCGTGACGGGAAGAGGAGCGGACCTGAAATGAAGCTGGATTCAGCACCGAGGCTTAAACCGGGTCCTGCA